TCCTGTGGATTTTAGGATCATTTGAAATCATATCTTTATGTGCTGATGGTCCAAGATTTGTGACTCGCAAGATTTCAGCATGCTCATCTTGTCATAACTTTCTATTAAGCTCAAGGCTAGCCCTTTTGTTTTGATTGTTAATTGGGCCTGACTTTTCAGTCACTCAACCTAAATAGCTTTATGACCTACTCAATGCTTTGGCAAGCGATATTTCATATTTTAACCCAAACAGCAAGAATAAGAATATAATTACTTCTCACAACTCTCTATCGTGCTTCATCTCCTCCAAATTTTCTTCCTTTATAAGCTCCTCTTCTCCTCTTGATAGACACAACTAGGGTTTTTTTTCTCATTAATAGTTTAATCAAATTATAATCTCATTGTATTAAAAAGTTTTTATGGCCCTTATTTGATTTCCATTTTTTATTTGACAATCTTCATTATATTGGTTTGGTGGTAGTTGCTCTGTTTTGATGTTTCTTTAGGTCAAAGGTAGTTTGGTTGGCAGTATTATAACCATATCATGGGTACGTAGTTAACTTCAAGATCAACATAATTGTGATAGATTATATTTAGAAGTCATGAAGAAAGAAAAGTTTCATCTTAAATTATTATATATTTTTTATTTTTTATCACAAAAGCCTAGCTACTTCTCTTTCATTTTTTTATAATTTTTTTATTTTATTTTTTTATTTTTATTTATTTTCAATTTTCATATGAAAACTTGAATAAAATAAGGTGTTCACACAAATAAATATCTAAGGACTTTAGTGTAATTATATTATTTTATGATATTATTTTATCATTTGTATTTTGAAGTTCTTTATTTGTTGTTTTCCAAAAAAATAAAGATCCCCTTCAAAATTTATAGGGAGAATGGTATTACGGGCCCTAAAAAGCAAGAATTTTATAGATAAGGCCTAATAGATTCTGAAATTATTCTTAGGGCCTAAAGGCCTCATTTGCAATTATTTTTTAGTGAAATAACTAATTTGTCCTTCCCATAACTAGCTATTAAATGAAAATTGCTTCTTCTTCCTCTGTCCTTCCTCCCTCATCCTTCTCTCTCTTCCTCTTTCAACACTGATATAATAACCAAATTCATTTTTCTCCCCATCATGCTTCTCTATTCCCTCTCTTCTTCTTCCTCCTTCTTCCTTCTTTCTCTCATTTAAAGCTTCTTCATTCAACAGGTATGAGTAGATGATTCACTTTTTTCCAGATGGGTATAGACAAGATGATCAGGTGTTCGTCCGATTACATTCCTCTCACGCCAACCAACTTCTTGAAATGATTCGCCATGGTGTGGAAAGAATAGATCAAGTGCTACATCTGCCATTATCAATTTTATTTTGTCAAAAAAGGATATAGAGAAAGTTTAAGCCATATTAGTTTTATCTAGTCATAATGTACGTGTTCACGTTCATTTAATGAAAACAAATTGTTATTTATAGACTTTTTGTTGTTTCTGATACATATTTTTTTGCAAATAATATAAATGTTCTGGTGTAGATGTTGTTTATGAAATTTATGTTGTTATGTATAGAGTTTACGTTGTACAAACTTTGCAATTAACTTGTGCGCATATTTATGTGTATCATATCAACAAACCTTGTATTGTAAATATATGAACATTGTGTTGTTATCAAATGGATACTTTTATGTTATATACAGACCTTTTGTTCTTCATTAAATTGAGAAGCTTTTTCAAAGGTTCAGTTTAATTACACAAATCATGTGAAATAAGTGGACATTGTGTTGTTAATAAATGGACCTTGTCATGTTATATGCAAACTTTTTATTGTTCATAAATTTGACAAACATTTTGTTAAGCCTAGCCAACTGATAAACTGGACACACATGGACTTATAGTTTAGAATATATGAAAATTGTGTTGTGCATGGTGGATATTGTGTTGTGCATTATTTGCTTACTTGCGCCTTTTGTCAAGCCTAGCCTATTGATAAAGTAGAATCTTATGGACTTTTAGTTGAGAATAAATAAACCTTATATTGTGCATAATGAATATTGTGTTATGCATTGTTTGCCTATTTGTGTATTTTGTTAAGCTTAGCCTACTGATAAAGTAGAATAATATGGACTTTTAGTTGAGAATATATGAACCATAAGTTATGTATAGTGGATATTGTGCTGTGTATTGTTTGCTTACTTCTGCTTTTTGTCAAGCCTAGCCTACTGATAAAGTAGAATCGTACGGACTTTTAGTTCAGAATATATGAATCTTATGTTGTGCATAGTGGATATTGTGTTGTGCATTGTTTGCTTACTTGTGCATTTTGTCAAGCCTAGCCTACTAATAAAGTAAAAACTTATGGACTTTCAGTCGAGAATAAATGAACCTTATATTATGCATATTGGATATTGTGTTATGTATTGTTTGCCTATTTGTGCATATTGTTAAACCTAGCCTACTAATAAAGTAGAATAGTATAGACTTTTAGTTGAGAATATATGAACCTTAAGTTGTGCATACTGCATAGTGGATATTGTGTTGTGCATTGTTTGCTTACTTCTACATTTTGTCAAGCCTAGCCTATTGAAAAAGTAGAATTTTATGGACTTTTAGTTGAGAATAAATGAACTTTATATTGTGCATAGTAAATATTGTGTTATGCATTGTTTGCTTATTTGTGCATTTTGTTAAGCCTAACCTATTGATAAAGTAGAATCATATGGACTTTTAGTTGATAATATATGAACCTTATGTTGTGCATAGTGGATATTGTATTGTGCATTGTTTGCTTACTTGTGCATTTTGTCAAGCCTAGCCTACTGATAAAGTAGAATCTTATGGACTTTTAGTTGAGAATAAATGAACCTTATATTGTGCATAGTAGATATTGTGTTATGTATTATTTGTGTATTGGTGCATTTTGTTAAGCGTAGCCTACTGATAAAGTAGAATCGTATGAATTTTAAATTGAGAATATATGAACCTTATGTTGTGCATAGTGGATATTGTGTTGTGCATTGTTTGCTTACTTGTGTATTTTGTCAAGCCTAGCCTACTGATAAAGTAGAATCTTATAGACTTTTAGTTGAGAATAAATTAACCTTATATTGTGCATAGTGGATATTGTGTTGTGCATTGTTTGCTTACTTGTGCATTTTGTCAAGCCTAGCCTACTAATAAAGTAAAAACTTATGGACTTTCAGTCGAGAATAAATGAACCTTATATTGTGCATATTGGATATTATGTTATGTATTGTTTGCCTATTTGTGCATTTTGTTAAACCTAGCCTACTGATAAAGTAGAATAGTATAGACTTTTAGTTGAGAATATATGAACCTTAAGTTGTGCATACTGCATAGTGGATATTATGTTGTGTATTGTTTGCTTACTTCTACATTTTGTCAAGCCTAGCCTACTAATAAAGTAGAATTTTATGGACTTTTAGTAGAGAATAAATGAACTTTATATTGTGCATAGTAGATATTGTGTTATGCATTGTTTGTCTATTTGTGCATTTTTTTAAGCCTAACCTATTGATAAAGTATAATCGTATGGACTTTTAGTTGATAATATATGAACCTTATGTTGTGCATAGTGGATATTTTGTTGTGCATTGTTTGCTTACTTGTGCATTTTGTCAAGCCTAGCCTACTGATAAAGTAGAATCTTATGGACTTTTAGTTGAGAATAAATGAATCTTATATTATGCATAGCAGATATTGTGTTATGTATTATTTGTCTATTTATGCATTTTGTTAAGCGTAGCCTACTGATAAAGTAGAATCGTATGGATTTTAAATTGAGAATATATGAACATTATGTTGTGCATAGTGGATATTGTGTTGTGCATTGTTTGCTTACTTGTGTATTTTGTCAAGCTTAGCCTACTGATAAAGTAGAATCTTATGGACTTTTAGTTGGGAATAAATTAACCTTATATTTTGCATAATAAATATTGTGTTATGCATTATTTGCCTAACTTTAGTATTTTGTTAAGCCTAGCATAATGATAAATTAGAATCACATGGACTTTTAGGTGAGACTATATCACAAACTTTTTTTTCTTACAATCGTCTTTAACCAGCCATCCTCCTGAGAGGCCACGAACAAGGAGGATAGAGTCTTCTAAGATAAGAAGATTTATCCGTGTTCAAGATGTGGAAAGGCTAGACACAGTCACAAGACATGTAAGAATTGTAACCCAGCATGAAAAGTGGTTACATTGTACTTATTTGATATACACAAGCAACTATAATTATGTATATGAAAGAATTTCCAAATAATATTTTTTGGGTAAGTGGGAATCACAAATATTTTTTGTTTGTATATCAAGAAGCAACTATTAGATATTTTGGATATAGTGGCTAACTTTTTATATATATCAGACTTGGAATATTGGGTCAAATTTCATATGGATACTTGTTTTAGTACCTAGGCTAATCCCAACATAAAATTATTCATATATGATGTAATTGTCCTTTTTAATATTGGAAATGCATAGACTTTCTGTTGAGCATGCATGGACATTATCTTATACATAGTGAATGTTGTGTCGTGCATGGTCTGCCTAACGTCATTTTGTTATAGCCTAAGCTAGTGAAATACTGAAAATGTATGAATTTTTTGTTCAGCACATGTGAACATTGTATCATGCATAGTGAATGTTGTGTCATGCATGGTCTGCCTAGTTATTTTTGCTAAAGCCGAGGCTAGTGAAATACTTAAAATGCATGAACTTTTTATGGGGATGCGTGGATATTCTCTTGTGCATAGTGAATGTTATATCGTGCATGGTCTATTTCGTTATTTTGAGAGTTTACGAAAGTTCTGAATTCAAATCAAACAAAGGGCAAAATCATACTTTTGGTCTCAAAAAAATTGGCAATAAGGGCCTTAAGGCCTGCAAAGCAATATTAGATTTATTTAGACCCAAATTATAATAAAGTTTATTTTTAAGGCCTTTAATGTCATTCCTCCAAATTTATGTTTGATTATAGTATTAGATTGACTTTAAAAAGCAAGCAGTTGAATTCGGGTGCATCTCGTATACCGAACATAATTTCGTCACATACACGTAATAGATCACACAATATATCTATATCTAGATTTACACACACACACGACACCTTTACGAATTGAGAATAACAGAATTTCCAAATCACACAATGTTTTAAGCTTTTGCCATTACTTACAAGATAATTACAGGAATAGCAGGCAATAAAACTATGATCATGATACTAATATTAGGCGCAGAACTTCCCCTGAAAGCCTGAATGATTTCTCAGTTTCTTCAAGACAACGATTCTTTTCTTCTCGAGTCCATCCCTAATAAAATCCCTTGAGCAATTATTCACTATCTCCACTTGAATTAGGTAAGCAATAATGAAGATGCTAGTTTAAGGTTTATTGAAAATATGATGAAAAATATAAACAGAAATAATTTCAAGGACCGTTTTATTACAAATATGAGCCTGTTGAATTTCATTATGTTCAACAAGATTAACAAGACACAATCAGTTTTGATTTGATTCAATCAATATTTTACCTTTAAATTATAAATCTAAAAGCATTTGAGACTCCATTGTTATTTTTAGTGTAATATTCCTCTTTAACTTTTAAAAACAGTGCAGTATTACTTCTATTATAAGCAATAATTATATTTGATTATTAGTTAACTAAAAAATCACAGAAAAGAACTTTAAAAATAAAAAAAATGACTCAAAAAATTACAAATAAGTATCCTTTAAAAAATTAAAGGATCTTTTATAGGGTATTTATTTATAATTTTCTAGTCCTTCTTTAAATTTTTAAGTCATTTTATATAATTTGCTGGTCAAGTAATGGTAGGAACAACATTTCATTATTTAAAAAAGTTGAATGACAATATTGTATTAAAAATGAGTTTAAGGTCTTAATCATTCTTAGACTTATAGTTTAAGAGCAAAATTACCTTGATTGACTCTATGGTTGATATTTTTTAGCCAACTAAACCAACCTAATAACTCTCATAGCAAATCCGATTCAATTTTCCTAACCTTGAAGCTAGTTAAACAAGCTATAGAAATCAACTTTTGCCGCAGAGTTTAGAAGACTTCATTTCATGTCGTCGTTGTTTTATTGTTGACTCACTGTTAGCGAACACCGCACAACATAGGCAAAGAGAACCAATTTATTGCAATTAGTCATCCCGAGGAAAAAAACAGGTAAAGGTTTTATGGTAATATGAAACTCACTTCAGAGACTTTATCCAGCTTGTCCCTAACACCCTGTAACATCTGGGAAAGCTGACCATCCCATTTATAGAACTCCAACACCTTGTTGTTCAGAATCTTTTCAGCCACCTGTAGATTAAAACTAAAAAAATCAGAAAAAAAAAGTGGAATAATGACTTGACTCTTAAGCGATCATAAGAGTAAAGTAACATGACTCCTAGCCTTTCCCTTGCCCTGGTTTGGATGAGGAGAAAAATAGGGAAGATGGAAAACTAAATAGTAAACAAAAATTATTATTTTTAAGAATTTCTCCTCTAAGTTTTCTCCCCTCCTTGGCATGTAAGAGAAAATAGAGAGAAGAGAAAATGTGATTGAAGAGAGAAAATCACAAGAAGAGAGAAGTAGAGGGATGTAATTTTTTTCTCTTGATGCTTGGCTGAGTGAGAAAAAATAGAAATAAATTTATTAATTTTATATGAATAATAATAACTTTATCATGTTTAAAAAAATATTTATAGATAATAAAATTTAATATTTTAACAAATTACTTATGTAATTTTTTATATATTACTAATTAAATAAAAATATACTCATAAATTTTTTTATCCGATACTAGCAAAAGAATATTTTTCCCAAATTTAATTTTTATTTCTGAAATTATTAAATATATAATAATCTAAATTAGGATGAAAATGGAGAGAGGCAATAAAATATTCATGTGTAAATTTGAAAATTGTGTTTCCTCTTCAAAATATTCCCATATTTGAAGAGAAAAGTTGGAGGTAAAAATATATAGATCCCATATGTTATTTTCCTCCCAATTTCTTTCTCTCCCATTTTTTTCTCCTTAGCCAAGCAGGAGAAAATATCATTTTCTCTTCATTTTTCTCTTGCATTTTCCCCTTCTCCCTACTTTTTTCTCCTACCAACCATAGCATTAGCTCCAGAAAATCACTGAAAAGAAAAATCTAAAACATTATAAAGCCTGCATCCTATGATTATGAGAATCAACAGTTGTGAGTTCCATTTATTGCTGGAAACCAACCCATGCCACCAAAAAGAGGTGGGGAACCACACAAATGGAACATTCTCAATAACTCTAAGATCAATCGGAGATTTTCATTCTTCAAGTCCTATGGATGTAAAGAAAAACATAAATGGAAAGTTTTGCAACAAACTTCTATAGAGGCTGTTAGACAATATTTCTTAAAGGCCTCCAAAATAAAACTTAGTGTATAATCCCTATAAGCAGATATTTTTCTTCTTGATTATCATCAAATCTACCTTGTTCTTTCATATTTAGAATTGTGTCTAACATGTAACAATCATAGCAGCGATGATGGACAAAATATGATGAGGAAGATGAAACAAGAACCAAATGAGTCATACATTTGACATGCCACTCCACAAGTGATACTTCTAAACCAGTCAGTTTATGTTAAGTCATTGTGTCATATACCATGAATCTTAAGTAGCATTTTTATGAATCAATTACCTTCTTCCCCACCATCCGACCACCAGCTGAATGAGCAAAATATATGTTGTAAAAGTGGCAAATAAAGGCCTGGGGATCCTTCACAGATAACTCTTTAAGATACTGTGCATAGGTAAGACCAGGTGAAGAAGGTTCAGGAATAGGATGACCTTGCTCCCTGAACCATTCCAAATCTTTAGCCAAGCTTGCAGACCTTTCCAATCCTGTACTTCTGAATTCAGCATCTACAGTAGGATAGTATGAACTTTAGCATTTAGAAGATATCCATCAAAACTCACAAGATAAAAATACAAGAAGCCTGATATAATTATACACCAAGGAAAATCCAAATCATGAGCTATGTACACTACCGAACAGAGATGACTAATATGAATAACAACAATAAATCCTCAAATAAGGAAACTATGTGGATAAAAGAAAGGTCTCAATAAGCTTATGTTTTTCAGAGTTGTCTTCTATAGGCTGAGGGGGACAGATCAGGCGTTCACAAAGCTCACATGAGCTCTCTGAAATCTCTATCTCTAAGAGCACGAACTTTGAAGTGAGCATGGACTTAGTCTAATAGTTGCAGTTACAGCTTGATTTGGAGATTACATCTAAGAAATAAACAAATAAGTAAAAGGTTTAAATTTAAGATGGTGGAACATATTATTTGAAAAAGGTACACAAAAAGCTCATTTCGTGGATTGTTAAAACAAACATTTAATATGAACCAAATTTCAATCGGAGCATCAAATGAACCCTTGAAAACCCGGAAAATCAACTACCATTGCTATGTCCCATAAATATAACATACTATAGAATTAGAACATTAGAAAACAATTAACAATACAGTAATAATATGATTAGCAATATATATATATATATAAAGAACCTTTTAAAATTAACTCATAAATTGAACTCACAGTAAGAATAAGCAGCATCATAGACGATATTTTCCAGTGCATCATAAACCAATTTGCTATCCACAAGAAACCTCAAGTACCCCTCAGTCGTGGGTTTCCACTTGACCACGGATCGCTCTTCAGGTTGACTGATCTCCTTCTCTCCCTCCTTAGCCTGCTGCTTCGTATGCAATTTCATTGCCACAAACTTCATCTCCTCCACAAACCCCTTCGATTCACCAGGATAACGCTTCTTGGCTTTCTCTGTCATGGTTGCTGACACAGTAACAGCCTTCAATGACATCTTTGTATCCCCACGAGGAGTCTGAAATTGCACAGATAACCTCCTGGGCAAGACAAACGAGCCAAGTTTTGGTTTGGCACTAATAGGATTTTGAAGAGGGGTGTTGTGATATTGAGTCCCCTAAAAAGGGATTTAAATATAGAAGCTGGGGATGATGAAGAAGCCATGGCAGTACAACATAGTGAAATACCCACAAAATGAACGAGTCGTGTACGAAACCTTTGAAGTAAATTAATTTACCGGTCTCACTCAAGAATGTAACAGGCAATTGAAATGGAAGTTTGATCAAGTAATCTTGAAGAAACAGCGACAGATAAATAATATTAAATTAGATTGTAATCCAAATCGTGGATTTAAAATGATAAATATATTATATATATCAGGTGGGTGGATGAGACTTAACGGAGTATGGGAATGAATGTTAGGCTGTTCAATGATGACATAATTCATGAATTTGAATTCCCAATGGCTATGGTTTCTTGAAAGAAGATAGTTTCTCTGCTTTGAATTACATATAAAACGAGGAATAGCGGGTTGTGCCTTCTCGCATATGGATTTGGGTATTCCTATGGGGATAAAAAGGAAAAAGGCATTCTTTGATAGTGATCTCTCGTTGACGCCGTGCGCGACCGGATGAGGCATTTGGAGTTTGGACCAAAAAAAAAAAAACGGGGGCCGGGGGGAGGGGGTGGGGTTGGAAATCAAACACTGCACGAAGCACCAGATTGGTGTTTCCAACGGTAGTAAAATGAACCTCGCGAACAGGGATGGTCATTTGGACTTCATGAGGGGCCGTTTGACTGTATTGTTAGTATTATCTTGTTTTTGGATTATAGATGGTGATTTTTATGACTAGTGATTTTGTTTAAAAAGATGGATGATTAATGAGTTTTCTCAATTTTAGACTTTCGTGACACTTAAGTGTTAAAGAAAAATAAATAGTAAGAGGCCAAATTTTAAAAGGAAAAGAAAAGAAACGAATAATAAACTATATATATATATATATATATCCCACATCATTTTCATTCTTGTGATTGTGAAGAGTGAGGATATCGTCATATTGATTTATTTAATTTGGGTCTCATTTTCAACACTCTATTTTATCAAGCTATTAGAAATTTAGAAAATATACTTATACAATGACCGATATAGTTTTATATTTTTTTCATTTTCTCACTTAGTCTATTATCATCATTTGTTTGGCAAAAAGTAAAACGCAAAAGAAAATTCAACCTTTACATGCTCTTATTATTATAATTATAATTAATCTCTAAACGTAGTCAACACATTTCTTTTATGAGAATTATTTTATTTTATTTTTTTACCAACGAGAATAATTTCATTTCAAACTTTAGAGTTTTGAATTCCTGCAATACATTGCGCTCACACACACACACACACAATATATATATATATATATAAGTTATCAATAAAGTAAAAAGCATATCAACATGAAAGACCTCATACGTCAACAAAGGATAAATTAATACTTTTATCATTCATTTAGATAAGAAAGAAAATAAAAAGAAAAGAATATTAGAAAAGAAAACTTCTGAACGAATTCTCTCTTTTTCAATTTTCATTTTCTGCATTATTTTCTCCTAAGTTCCAATTGTTATTTACTATAAACTTACGTGAAGTCACATTTCTTAATTTTTTCCCACCCCACAAATTGAAAAGGGTATCTCTCGCCACTTTTGCCAATGGAATCTTATCATTCCTTGGTGACCAGAAATTCTTGCATATGTAACACCCCAAATTACCACCACACTAACACAAAATATCTTTATCAATATTATTTTCAATTTTTCTTTCAAATGTTTGTCAAACAAAACAACAGATCACAATAACAATTACCACTAAGCTTAGGGTATTTGAAGCCCAACAAACTAGTCCACAACAAGCCCAATAATCAACAACAAAAAGCTCAAACTGAATTCTAATTTAAACTGAATAAATATTATCAAATGGATTGGCTCATCCCACAACAATCTATAATTCAATAATCCATTTCAAATACAAAGTTGCATATTCTTTTCTTTAAGGTCATGCCCCAAAAGAAACTTTGTAAACAATCATTTACCCAAATAATTTCAATTATAAAAATCACTGTACTAGATCATTGCAATAAAATAACAAAACAACAACCACGTGCGCCAAACCACATGGAACAAAGAGTTAGGTCATTGCTCTAGCACCTTCCTTGTAATTTTATCGGACAGCTCACCCAAAAAATGGTAAGAGGTAACAAGTGAGATCTATTGTTTGAATAACAATTGATTATTCTATCCTACACCAACATAGGAATTAAAAACTAGTTCACAAATCATATTTAGATACATATACTTTTTTTTTTTGACAATTCATACAAACAATTTTTCAAACAAGGAAATGCTAGTTTTCTATAATCAGAACAATTTACATTCAATAACAATTAACTCAACTGATACTTATCCTGACCATACCCTTATATCCCATGCTTTGTATCTTATTATTGCTAGTTGGAGCCTAAACTATAGATACACTTAGCTAAAGGTGCATTGTGAACAAAGTAGGACTCTCATCCTTAAAAGTAGGTTCCCATCATCCCAAAACTGTAACCAGGGTAATAGGGAACTACAAGAAAAGCCAACCATTATGTGCATAGTGGAGGTGCACCATACAGTTATTAGAATATCCAGTCTCAATCTCCACATATAATCATCACATCAATCTTCAACCACCTTATTTCCCCTTTTCATCACATTCTAGAATTCACTACTACAAAATAAGCTTACAGGAGCACTTTTTTTTTTGACCTTAGGGTGCGCTTCAAAAGCACTCTCGTATCAAGCGCTCAAGAATGTACAAGAGCGCTTAAAAGTGCTCCTGTATGTATGCTATACAGAAGCGCTTTCTGAAAAATGCTCTCATATATAAGGGCAAAAAGGTTGGCAAAGGCACATATGGGAGTGCTCTGGAGCAGAGCGCTCCTATATGCCACCATACCTGAGCGCTTTTAAACAAAGCGCTCTCATTTGTCTCTCTACAAGAGCGCTCTTTAGATGAGTGCTCTTGTAGATTACTTTTATTTTTTTAAATTAGACTTTTTTTTAAAATTTCTCCTTTTACATCTCTTTAACAATGACTAATCATAATATCAAAAACTAATTTAAAAATAATATCAACATAAAAATTTATATACAAGAAAAGAATTTGAAACTAATACAACAATTTTAATTTCCTAACTAACCTAGTTTAATTTCTAACAAGCCTAGCAAATGAAACTATTATTATTTTTCTAACATTAAAATCTAACTTCCTATCACAAACAGCCAATAATATATTTTGACCACTCTTCAACTAAATCTTCTATTTGCTCTATAGTAAAATGTGAAGATCTTGCTCCAATAAAAGACTACACAAGATATGAAAGCTATGTATAAGTAATTAACATTATATTAACTTAATTTCAAAGCTTTTGACTTACATATTAGGAATGATCAACTCTTATTGTGTAATTACTTCTCTCATAAACTTCATAACATAGTATCTACACTCCCAACCTTGTAATTGTGTAGGTACCTATAAAATAATTAAAGATGTCATTATCAAAATATGGTAGAAACAAATTTTAACTTAATTTAACATACTTCAAAGATGAAGTTATATATATGATACAAGTATTTGCTGTCAAAAATCCGACAGAGTCTCCCCCATAACTTGAAAGTTTTAGAATTTTTTAAAAGTTCTACATCAATCCAGAACAACATATTCAGAATAACAAACATAAAATATCAATCAAACAATCATTTAGATACATACCAACTTGTTTTATTAAGAAAATAATACAAACCTTTATTCTTTTCCATGAATAAAACTCAACAGGATTAGGTCTTTTAGTGTTTGGAGGGAGACCTTCACCATCTTGATAACGTGCTACAGCCTTATTATATAATGATTAAGCATTTCAAGTAAAAACTAATTGTTATAATAAACATATATAAAGAATATAGAACTAAAAGCTTACAGATTAAATAATATCCTCATAGATTTGTAGTTCTTAAAGTTACTATCTCTTAATGAGTCAAAATAATAAATCATAGGGACAAATGAATTGATAAAAACAAGCACCCAATGTTGCCTGAAAAAATAAAATATTTCATTAACTAAAATATTAACTAAATTTGAAAATAAACAATAATAACAATTTACCCTGGATTGTGAGGAGCTAAAAATGGCATGTTTCTTTTTCCTTTAGCTTTGAATGTATTAGTAATCTTTTGAGAATGGTACTTGACACTGTAGATACTAGTGTTGTGAGGGCTAAATGAAAATTTTGTTAACAATGAGCCCGATACCACAAAAGTATGATATAAGTACCTAAAATGAAAACAAATAGAATTATTCACAACTAAAATTAAATAAATACTACAATAAACAATAAAATTTAGAAAGTACCTGATGTATAAACTAATTTGTGTGGTTTGTAGCCAATCCTTGGTTAGAATCTTGTTAATATTTTTTAATTGCTAATTTTTCGCTAATCATTTCATCATAAATCTCCTTTTTAAAACCTACTTCACGAATCTTATTTTTAAATGTTGTCCGCATAATCACTTCAAGTGCGTTTTGATGAGAATATTTCAACTGACTAGATTTTGTGCCAGTCTTCCTTGCCTTAGTCACAGAGGTAGATCCTTTCAATGGCTTTCCTTTCACTTTGATTGGCTTCTTTACAATTTTTTAGATTTTGAGGACTACAAAATGTAAAATGGATTGGTAAGGCCGTAAAAAAACATGAATGATTTTAAAAAACCATTAATTATTATACTTGTAACTTAATAAGCTTTGTAGGCTAAGCCACATAAGTTCCAACGGCATCAAAAATCGTGAATATATCCTCATCTTCTATTTGCACTAGCAACTCAGTATCATTTTCTATTGAAATAGTTATAGTCACCTTTAAGTGATCAGCAGGCAATGGCCTGAAGTATATAGTAACACTATTATCATTATACACATATTCAAGCACCATAACATGACAATATGGTGATTCTAACCATAATTGACATTGAGACTCGCCCTAAAAATCAAAAAATTAATATTTTAAGAAAATGTGAAACATAATTTGTGAATAAAGAGAAGATAATATAAAGAAAAATTATAACCGTAGGAAAGTCATCTTTAGTATGGAATG